TCCTGCTTTTCAGCGCCCAACCCATCCACACCATTTTTCTTCAACCATGACTGTTGGTAATAAGAAATAATATATATTTTACAAGTTGTTGATTGGTTTTTGTATTGGATACCCATACAGTGTGTTAGCACTACATAACCTCTATTGAAATGTCCTTTATTTCAAACATTTTATTTTAATAGGCAATAGCATAAAGGGAGTGAAAGTTTATGATAAGAGGTATTCAGTTGTTTTCTGAATATAACCACATTACCAGCACACATAATGAATCTTAAGAAAAATAAGTCTGATTTTCGTATTTAACACCAACATAATATTTAGGAATAAACAGGTATATTTTGCATCTCAAAATCTGCAGTAACATCCTATCTAATAAAGAGGGAATATGCTAATTGGCCCTCATACCATTGCAAAGATGACACTGTCCACAGCCAATAAGAAGGGAATATGCTAATTGACTGTCCCACCCTCAAAGATGGCAGCATCCACAGCCAATAAGGAGGGGATATGCTAATTGACTACCATGCCCTCAAAGATGGTAGCACGCACAGTCACAAGATGGCAATGCCCAATCCCTTCAGCTCCACCGGGGTGGCAGATGTGCAGCAAGGCCGGGCCCGCCCCCAAGCGGGCCCAGCTGCTCCATGAGCCTGCCTCTGGAGTCCCCCAGTTCCCTCAGCCCCCCAGCTGCCCAGGACCAGCCCAAGGCACAGGCAAGCCTTGGATGTTGGCTGCCCAGCAGCCCAAGGCCATCCAAGGATCAAGTAACCAGTGCCGGCCCAGGCTTGCACAGCCAGCAGTGGCAGCAGCAGAGGTGTGATGGGGGCATCGCCCTCTCCTGATCGCTGGGTCACCTCCTGCTCCTGAGGGCTCCCGGATTGTAAGAGGAGGCAGGCTGGGCTGAGGGACTCACCCTCTAGGGCATATTATAAATAAATAAAACAAGAGAATATTATACACTTCTATATTAAGTTATAAACTATTGTTATAAATATTTTGCCTAGTAGCTTCTATTCAGTGACAGTCTTTAGATTAATGCAACCTGCCATTTTTTCTAGAAAAGTGATTTTTAAAGACATATTTAAATTGTTAGGCATAATTTAATAATTATATAAACAAACTAGAGGCCTGCTGCACAAATTTGTGCACTGGTGGAGTCCCTTGGCCTGGCCGGTAATTGAGCCCTATCGAGGGGCTGGCCAGCTGCGGGGAGGGGCTGCGGGAGGTTGGCTAGTGGGGGAAGGGGCTGTGGGAGGTTGGCTGTGGGAGTGCACTGACCACCTGGGGACAGCTCCTGCATTGAGCGTCTGCCCTCTGGTGGTCAGTGTGCATCATAGCGACTGGTTGACCGGTCGTTCTGGTCATTTGGTAATAATGGTCACTTAGGCTTTTATATATAGAGATAAGTGGCACCTATTTTACAACTTTCCAAATACCAAATTATGACAGAAGTTATCAATAAAAATTTCAAATTTCTAGAAATGTTTTTCTTCTTTGTAATAATGATGTCCATATGCATTAATGTTAACCTACCTTTAAGATGTTTTGTGCTTTGATTTTCTCTTCAGTAACGAAGGTAAATTTACAAATGATTCATCAGTAGTCTTTCTGGCTATTTGATATCAAATTCTCAGAAAAATTCTTAGCCACCACTAGAGTTTAACTTTTTCCAGTGACTACACAAAACTATGTTGCCCTCACAGAAATGAAACCCACTGTTTGGACTGCTTGGAAACATGTTATAGTCACTTGATGAAATAGCTCATAGAGTTTTTGTCGGTGCATAAAATCCATTGCCTTGAGCATTTAATTGAGTTATATAAGAGTGTAGGACCCATAGTATCAAAAATAAGAATGATTCATTTTCATTATTTTCTCTTACCAAGAGAAACTTTAATGCTTTCTAAATACCATTATATTTTTTACTTTAAAATTTATAGATGATACTCTGAGCATGGATCAGCGCCTTCTTAAATTAATTCTGCAGAATCATATATTGAAAGTAAAAGTTGGACTTAATGAGCTTTACAATGGACAAAAACTTGAGACCATTGGAGGCAAACAGCTCAGAGTCTTTGTGTATCGAACAGTAAGTGAATAAAACAGTATAAAATATCTACATTGGCCTAATTGTTAAGTGGCACGTACTTGTCAAAGGATGTTGTTACAACATATGTTTCCCAGAATTTTATTTATACAGTTTTAGCAATAAATATGCATCAGAAGATCAGGGAGGGAATGTCCTGGCCAGTGTGGCTAAGTTGTTTGGAGCTTTGTCCCTTTGACCAGGTTGATTCCTGGTCAGGGCACATACCCAGGTTATGGGTTCTCTCTCACATCAATATTTCTCTCTCTCTCTCTCTCTCTCTCTCTCTCTCACTCTCCCTTCTTCTCTCTAAGTATCAATTAAAAAAGAAAAGAAAATATCAGGAAAATGAGTAACATGTGTGGAGACAGAAAGTTACACAAAAAGTTCTATGTGTTAATAATTCTTAAACTTGCAATTGTTTAATTATAAATAACATTATATTATAGAGCATTATTTCAATTCCACAAATCACTACAACATCTCTAAAATAAGCTTTTCATTACTAGTTTTATTTAAGTATAGTTTGTATACAAATTAGTTTCAGGCATGCAATATACTGATTGGACATTTATAAATCTTGCAATGTGATCATCACACTTAGTCTAATAATCATCCATCACTATGAAAACTGATCACAATTTTCCATATTGCCCTTCACCTTTTTCAACCACCCTCCCAACTCTTATCTACTCTGGAAACCATGTTTCAATAAGTCTGTTTTTGTTTTACTTCATATTCCACATATAAGTGAAATCATATGGTATTTGTCTTTCTCTTACTTCACTTAGCATAATACCATCCTTGTTCTCACAAATGGTAAAATTTCATTTTTTATGGCTGAGTAATATTCCATTGCAAAATTAGACCACATATTTTTTATCCACTCATCTATCAGTGGAAATCTAGGTTGTTCCTATATCTTGGCTATTGTAAATAATGCTGCCTTGAACATAGGAAGGTATATGTCTTTTTTTAATTAGTGTTTTGTTTCCTTTGATAAATACATAGAAGTAGAATTGCTGGATCATATGGTAGTTCTATTTTTAATTTTTTGAGGGGTCTCAACACTGCTTTCCATATTGGCTGCAATAATTTGCAGTCCCACCAAAAGTACACAAGGGCTCCTCTTTCTCTACATTCTTGCCAACACAAGTTATTTGTTGAATATATGTGATTTATTTATTTTTAAATTAAACTTAATTGGGTGACATTGGTATATAGGTTTCAAGTATACAATTCTATGATTATTCATCTGTATATTGTATTGTTTGCCAACCAACCACACTAAGTCAAATATCCTGTCACCATATATGACCCCTTTTACCTTTACTACCTCCCACACCCAATCCCTCTGGTAAGCATTCCATAGTTGTCTGTGTCTAGGAGTTTGTTTGTTTTTACTGTTTGTACATTTGTGCATTCAGTTTTGTATCCTACATATGAGTGAAATCATATGGTTCTTGACTATTTCTGTCTGATTTATTTTGCTAAGCATGATATTCTCAAGATCCATCCATGTAGTCATATGACAGTATTTCTTTATTTTTAATTTAATCTTTATTGTTGAAAGTATTACGTATGTCCCCCTTTTCCCTGTATTGACCCCTTCTAGCCCACCTCCATCCACCACCCAAGGCCTTCACTACTCTATTGTCTGTGTTTATGGGTTAAAGAATGTATGCATACAAGTTCTTTGGTTGATCTCTTCCCACCCAGTCATCTTGCCGTGCTTACCCTCTGAGATTCCACAGTCTGTTCTATGCTACTATGTTTCTGGACCTATTTTGTTCATCAGTTTATTTTGTTCATTAGATTCTACATATGAGTGAGATCATGTATTTGTCTTTGTCTGACTGGCTTATTTTGATTAACATAATACTCTCCAGGTCCCTCCATGGTATTGCAAATGTTGAGTTCCTTCTTGTTTACTGCTGTATAGTATCCCATGGTGTAAATGTACCACTGCTTTTTTATCTACTTGGGTTATTTTCAGATCTTAGCTATTATAAATTGTGCTGCTCTGAACATAGGGATGCATGCATTCTTTCTGATTGGTGTTTCAGGTTTCTTATGATATATTCCCAGAAGTGGGGTCACTAGGTCAAAAGACAGCTGACATTTAATTTTTTGAGGAAACTCCATAATAGCCGCACCAGTTTGCATTCCCACCAGCAGTGTACTAGGGTTCCCTTTTCTCCACATCCACATATGCACTTGTAATTTGTTGATGGTAGCCATTCTGACAGGTATAAGGTGATTCCTCATTGTTGTTTAATTTGTATCTCTCTGATGATCAGTAACTTGGAGTATTTTTTCATATGTCTCTTGGCCATCTGTATATCCTCTTTGGAGAAATGTATATTCAGGTATTCTGCCCATTTTTAAATTGGATTGTTTGTCTTCTTTTTGTTAAGTTGTATTTGTTACTTATATATTTTAGATATTAAACCTTTATCAGAAATATCATAGTCAAATATGTTATCTTATACAGTGGGCTCCCTTTTGATTTGTTGATGGCTTCTTTTATTATGAAGAAGCATTTTATTTTTATGTAGTCCCATTTGTTTATTTTCTCCTTAGTTTCCTTTGCCCTAGGAGATGTATCTGTAAACATATTGCTAGGAGAGATGCCTGAGATTTTCCTTCTTATGGTTTCTTCCAGAATTTTAATGCCATGACAACTTACATTTAAGTCTTGCATCCATTTTGAGTTTTATTCTTGTTTATGGTGTAAGGTCATGATCTAGTTTCATTTTTTTGCATGTAGCTGTTCAATTTTCCCAACAACATTTATTGAGACTATCTTGACTCCATTGTATGTTCTTACCTTTTTTGTCAAATATTAATTGAGGGTAATTGCTTGGGTTGATTTCTGGGGTCTCTGTTCTGTTCCATTGAACTATATGTCTGTTCTTGTGCCAGTAGCAGGCTGCTTTGATTGCAGTGGTTTTGTAGTATAACTTGATATCTGGTATTGTGATTCCTCTAACATTGTCCTTCTTTCTCAAGATTACTGAAATTATTTGAGGTCTTTATTGATTCCATATACATTTTGGAGTATTTTTTTTCTAGATCTGTGAAATATGCTGTTAATTTTTTAATAGTAATTGCATTGCATCTGTAGATTTCTTTGGGTAGTATGAACATTTTAATGATGTAAATATTACCAATCCATGAACATGGTATATTCTTCTACTTGTTTATATCTTCCCCTCTCTCTTTTTCAACATCCTGTAGTTTTCCACGTATAACTCTTATACCTCGTTGGTTACGTTTATTCCCAAATACCTTAATTTTTTGTTGCCATGATAAGTTGGATTATTTGTTTAATTTCTCTTTCTGACAATTCAATTATTGGTGTATAAAAATGCCATCAATTTCTGGATGTTAATTTTGTATCCTGCTACATTGCCAAATTCATTGATTAAATCTAGTAGTTTTTTGGTGGAGTCTTTAGAATTTTCTATGTACAATAATCATGTCATTTGGGAATAATGAGAGTTTAACTTTTTCCCTTTCAATTTGGATGTCTTTTACTTCTTCTTGTCTGACTGCTGTGGCTAGAACTTCCAGTACTATGTTGAATAAGAGTGGTGAAATTGGACATCACTGACTTGTTCCTGTTCTTAGGGGAAAAGGTTTTAGTTATTGCCTATTGAGTATGATGTTCACTATACGTTTGTCATATATGACCTTTATTATGTTGAGATAGAATCCCTCTAGTCCCACTTTGCTGAGAGTTTTTAATAAAAGATAGGTGTTAGGTTTTGTTGAATGCTTTTTCTGTGTATATTGATATGTACATGTGATTTTTTTCCTTTTAATTTGTTTATATGATGTATCGCATTTACTGATTTGCAAATATCCTTCATCTCCATAATAAATCCCATTTGGTCATGGAATATGATCTTTTTAATACATTGCTGGATCCAATTTGCTAATATTTTGTTAAAGGTTTTAGCATATATGTTCACCCAATATACTGTACTATAGTTCTATTTCCTTGTTCCTTTATCTGGTTTTGAAATTAGTTCTCTTTATTGAACTCATGAAAAGACCTTGGAACTTTTCATTCCTCTTGGATTTTTTGGAATAGTTTGAGGAAGATAGGTGTTAGTTTTTCTTTGAAGGTTTGGTAAAACTCCCCTGTAAACCTGTCCAGGGCAAGACTTTTGTTTGTGAGAAGTTTTTGATTACTACTTCTATTTCATCAGTTGTTATTGGCTTATTTAGGTTTTCTGACTCTTTCTGATTCAGTTTGGCAGATTGTATTTTTCTAGGAATGTGTCCATTTTATACACTTTGTCCAGATTGTTGGCATATAGCAGTTCACAGTATTTTCTTACATTCCTTTATATTTCCATGGTGTCAGTTGTTACTTCACCACTTTCATTTCTGATTTAATTTTGGGGGTCCTCTCTCTTTATTTTCTGACTAGAGGCCCAGTGCATGAAATTCATGTATGGGTAGAGTCCCTAGGCCTGGCCAGCGATCAGGGCCAATCTGTGGGGTGACTGGTGGGGCGATTACAGTCCCCCGCTGGCACCTGCCTTGGCCTGTGGGCTGGGGGCAGCTCCTGCATTGAGTGTTTGTCTCCTGGTGGTCAGTGCGTATCATAGTGGCTGGTGGTTCCGCCATTTGGTCAACTTGCATATTAGGCTTTTATTATATAGGATGAGACTGGCTGAAGGCTCATAAATCTTGTTTATCTTTTCAAAGAATGAACTCTTAGTTTCAATGAACTTTTGTATGATTTTTTTTCATCCCAATTTAATTTATTTCTGCTCTAATCTTTATTATTTCTTTCATTCTACTTCCTCTGGGCTTTTCTTATTGCTCTAATTCTTTAAGGTGTAGTGTTAAATATTTTATTATTACTTTTTCTTGTCTTTTGAGGTAGGCCTGAAGTGCTATGAACCTCCCTCTTAGAACTGCTTTTGCTGGGTCACAGAGATTTTAGGTTGTTTTAGGTTCATTTACATTTGTTTCCAGAACATTTTTTATTTCTTCCTTGATCTCATTGGTAACCCTGTCATCCTATATAATAAAAGCCTAATATGCTAAGTGTCTGGTTGTCCAGTCGGCCATTCAACCAATCAAAGCGTAATATGCTGATGATATGCTAAGTCCACTCAATTATTCGCTATGACATGCACTGACCACCAGGGGAGAGATGCTTCGACTGGTAGGTTAGCTTGTTGCTGGGGTCTGGCCAATCAGAACTGAGAAAATTGGTCTGGACACTCCCTGGAGCCCTTCCACGGTCCCTCCTGGGCTGGCCAACCTCCTACATCCCTCCCTGGCCCTGATTGTGCACCGGTGGGGTCCCTTGGCATGGCCTGTGCCCTCTTGCAATCTGGGACCCCTCGGGGGATGTTGGAGAGCAGGTTTCAGCCTGATCCCGCAGGCCAGGTCAAGGGACCCTACTGGTGCACAAATTCATGCACCAGGCCTCTAGTTGTTTAATAACATGTTATATAGCCTCCTTGTGTTAGAATGTTTTGGAGTATTTTTAATGTAGTTAATTTCTAATTTTATTCCATTGTGGTCTAAGAAGATGCTTGATATGAATTGAATTTTCTTGAAATTGTAGAAGCTTGTTTTGTATTCTAACATGTGGTCTATCTTGGAGAATGGTCCATGTGTACTTGAGAAGAATGTATATTCTGCAGCATTGGGATGAAATGTTCTATAAATGATAATTAA